CCCCAACGATCCCCTGGGCTGCCAGCACCAGCCGCAGGAGCAGGCGGCTCAGGATGAGTCGGGTTTGCTCTCCGTGAGGCAACTCTGGAGTGGGGGCTCGTGAGGAAAAAAGGCAGCTTAGGTAGCTTTCAAAATGGACTGGCAAAGGCATCCAGAATTGCTGCTTTGTCTTGGCGTTTCAAATGACTGTCATTCTCACAGATGAGCTTTTATTTTATACACAGGCACTTTTTCTCCTTCTAACCTAGCTGCTTTATGACTGAACCCACCCTAAATATATATATAGAGAGAGAGATATAATCCCTTTGGAAAGAAAACCGTAAACCCCCCTGTGAATAAAATAAATTCTAACTAATCTTGGCAGCTTTGTGAAGGGTTAGTGTGGATCTAAGATTTAGCTAATCCCACAAAAATGACTGGAGAAGGCAATCTGATTTCTCCATCTTGAGTGTAGATTTGAAGTGGTTATGATCTCCATTGTGCTACAGCCTCCGATCCAAGGAAGGGGGAGGATAGCTCTTCCCAGCCCGGAAATGGACCAGAGGATTAACTCCTTAAAAGAAGCAAATTATCCCTTTCTCTGGCCAAATGAAAGCTTTCCCATCAAAAGAGAGCTGTCATATCATACAATATGAGAGAAGAGAGAGTTCAGCTTAATAAAAAAATCATTTTTAATGATAGCACAGCCTTTGGCTGTGCTGCAGCTCTCCAGGAAAGGTTGGTTTATTTTCTGCTGCTAGCAAAGAAATTGTATTTTCCCTCCTTCCCCTTTCCCCCACCTCTGCTGCCCTAATCACAGATAATGCACATGCCTTGCATGTATCCAACATGCTCTTTGTAAGGATTCAAAGCTGTTAATAAATTAGATTACTGGCAGCTTGTGGCAGCTCTGTGGCATAGCTTAGTGGCATGCAGCCGCCTCCTGTACAGCTGAGCTGTTCCCCTGCTCAGCGTCGGGAAGGGGAGGGGAGGATTGCTGCCTGCTGCCTCCGTGTACAGGTCCCACAGCAGCCTGGGCAGGAACCATAGCTAATGTGTGGTTCAGCGAGGCCAGAGCAGCCAGGGTGGCTGCCTGGGGCAGCCAGGCTTCCCCAAAGCTTTGTCAGTTCAATTCCCAACTTCTTCTGTCCAGCAAGAGAAACTGGAATGAGAGTATGGCCAAGAGGCGTGACTCAGGACAGGAGAGGATGCCTGACACCAACCCTCTCAAGGGCAAAGACCTGGCAGATGGTCTCCATAGTGGGAGAGAGGACACCTTCCATCCTGAGTTTATAACTGAAATTATTAGCCAGGGTCAAAATAGAGAAGGTGTGGTTGAGCTCAGGTTGCATAGGAAAGTTTAAAACCAAGTTGTCTTGCCCTCAGTGTGGTTTAAGCCAAGTTGAGTAGCAAGTCTTCAGGAGCTCACATGAGGAACACTCTGCTGCTTGGCACTTCTTTGCAGGAGAGAGCAGCTACCAGTCCCGCTCGTGGTACACCAAGGAGACACAGAGGCACAGAGGTGAGTGCTACAAAACCACAGCACCTCAAAGGCACTTGTGGCAACTTGTGACTTCACACTGAGCAGCCCAGCAACCCCTCCAGCACTGTGAGCCAGTCTCCAGGACAGCCTCAATCCCCACTCCTTCCTTCCTCCTTGGCCTTGCTTTCTGCCTGCCCTTCCTCACCCTGCTGGTCTCAGGTGCTGGGAAGAGCTGTCCCATAGCCACCATACCTGTGACCGTAAGACTAGTGTCAAATCTCAGTTAAAACCAAACCCCAAGTTTTTCTTCCATCGCTGTATTTGCCTCTCTTCCAGCCATTGGCATCACATAAATGGCAACACACTCTATGGACCTTTACGTATTTGCTGTGGGTTTGAGAGGAAGACACCTTTGTAGCCTCCCAATCTGGACATGTTCAGTGCTGCCCTGCCAAGGTGTCAGCCCTCCAGGGAGGCACTGAGGATGCACTAATGCTGGGGATCATGGCAAACTGCTCCCAGCTTTTATGCATGTACCCAGATGCTGGCAGAGGAGATGGATGTGGGGCCAGGTTCTGCTCCTGTGCCGTGGGCAGGCACAGGATCCGACCCTTTCTGCTCTCATCTGTAATGGTCATACACCCGAAGCAGATTAATTCTCCTTCCCCATCCTCAACAAAGGACACCTTTTCCTGGCCTCCCCTGCCTCTCCCTGCCTTCCCTCCACACATGCACTTAGCCTATTAGGATCTCCACTGATTGCTTTCTTTCATTCCTCCTGTACCTTTCACTTCAAAAAATGGACTGGTAATACTTCTTTTATCAAAGAATTATGGGATTTAGGACCCAGATCTTACAAAGAGACTTTTGATAGCTGCTGGTAATCAAATCCCAATCGGCAGACACTTCTCTGCACCCTGTAACCAGAGAGGAATAAAGGAAAGGGATTATTGATGTTCTGTTTACTGAGCCTCCAGGAGATAAGATCGCTGGGCTATTTCATATTAGAAAAGAAAAGGAAAATAAAACAAGAAAGAAAAAAAATGCAGACAAGGGAGGACAATATAGATATAGATAAAAAGAAAAGAAACAGGCTCTTATCATTTTCTTATTGGTTAAGGAGATTCCAAAGCCATTATAGAGGATTAGCAAAAAGGTTAATCTGCTTTAGCCGTTCACTTGTCAAAAGTGAATTTATAGGGTTCGAAAATCCTTCCTATGGTGAAATCAGAAAAAAAAATCCCTCTCTCCCGCCCCTGCCCTTCCTTTCTGCAGGCAGCACAAAGGGATGGAAATGGGAGCTTTGGAGACCCTAAAACATTGGCGCACCCTCCCTTGCCTTGCCCTGCCTAGCTGCTAGCACCCTGGGAGCTCTGGTTTGGCAGCACTTTCCCCCACCCCCTCATCACCCATGTGGGGTAGTTGTGGGGCTCAAGAAATGGAGGAGCAGGTCTGTGGGATGTGACCACCTTCCTGTACTGATCTGCCTTGCCTGGGGTAAATCTTGCACTGTTTTGCTGCTTCATATTGGCAAAAGTCAGGGCAAGCCTGATCCCTGGCTGGATTTGGGCTTCCAGGATGATTTCTAAAGCAGAACAGATGTGGATGTTACTGGCAAATATTGCCAAAACCTACAGGTTGGGGCCTCTCTGTCCCCTAGTGCAGTGCTCACCCTGGGAGCCACACCTCAGTGTCCTCCTGGTCACCCAGCACAGACCCTGGCCCATCCCAGCCATGCTCTCCTGGGCTGCCTGTGCCACCAACTTGCTCAAGTGGCTGATGCCCATTTCTTGCCCCAGTGCCACTGTGAGAAACAACCCAGGGAAAAAAAACAATCCTTCAAGGTCAAAACCAGCAAGGACCACTTTCTTGATAGGTATTGGGTGAAGTTCAGTGGGATGCCTTAGTCAGGAGTTATACCTATGTTTAATAAGACAGAAATCATAGGATCATAGAATGGTTTCTGTTGAAAGTGGCCTTTAAAGGTGATCTTAAAATCGTGCTTGGTAAAATCATTCAACCCTGTACCAAGTGAGAAAAAGAACCCAAATAAAATAATTTGGATTTGATTACAATTAACATCAAATGTCATGATAAATCTGTTGTCTCCCCAAAGGCCATTCCACCTAACAGGAAGAAGAGTCGTCCCTCCACTGGCTGTTAGTGTTAGCAGTGATGCTGGCTATCTGGGATGCCGGCTGACAGGGATGGTGCCCGTGGCGTGGCAGGAGGACTGTGGGTGACCAAACCTCCTCCGATGCAATGAGGCACGATGGAGCAAGACAACTACTTCACTCTGAAGCGTTTCGCTTGGTATTTCGGAGATCTTACAGTCACCATCTCACGCTGTCCAGCTCTGTGCTCAGCAGCAAGCACCAGCTCCCCGGTACCCAGCCCGTCTGGGAGGCTCTCGCTTTCCTCCGACTCTGGAAACAGCTTCAGATGACGTTTCTAGGATTCCGAGTTGCTTTTGCACCCCCTGACCCGCAGCCTGCTGTGGGTCTGGCGTCGTGGCTGCTCTCCTCTCCGGGCTGGGGGTCTCGCCTCCTCCCGCGCCCAGCGGCGCCCGGAGCCGGAGCGGCGGGATCGGGCCCTGCTGGGGCTGACCGGCG